TTTTTTGCTCTCTCCTCTTTCACCCTCATTAAGAGGTTCTTTAAGTTCTCCTCACTTTGTGCCATCAGAGTAGTATCATCTGCATATCAGAGGTTGTTGATTTTTATTCTGGCAAAGCTGTAAATGTAAGTAAATGTCTACAACAACTAAATATCCAAAATGCTGAAGCCAAATTGTTAACTGGGTTTGGTTACAAGGGTCACATATCCTCTCTGTTGCAACAGTTGCACTGGCTGCCAGTCTGTTTCCAGAGAAAATTCAAAGTTCTGCTTTTTTACCTATAAAGCCCGAAATGGCTTGGGTCCAAGCTGTCTTAAAGGCCATATCTCCATTTATGAGCCTGCCTGAGGTTTAAGATCAGTAGATTAGGCCTTTTGCTTAGTATCACCACTCACACAGATACATTCTTTAATATTGCAAGCTGGCTTCAATCCTTTTTAGAGAAAAGATGACATATAAATATTTTAAATAAATAAATAAAACCATCATAGGCATCCTTCAGTCTCGGGAGACTATGGTACTGTGCTCTGTATGGAGGTCTTGGAACAGCGTCTAGTGTTTTGACGCTGTACGCGAAGCTGGAGTGTCCTCTCCAGGGCATGAAGCCTGGGTAGAATAATATGGAGGATAGGCTGTTACCCATGCAGCAAATCCCCCCTCTCCACATCGCTGAAATAGTCTAATGGAAAGGCAAGAGCCAATACAACTGGTTTCAGCGACATCGCAGGAGTTGACAGAATGACACGAACTGCCTCTGGGACTCCAGCTCCGGATTTTGCCTCGAGGTTAACTCCTGAAGCCTTTTCCATCGGTGGATATAGCCACAAGGCAGAGAGGTTTGAAATCGGAGTTTTCCTTCTCCTAGATGGGCTGCCTTCCCAGGCTAATGAGTCCCACCTACCTGGCCTGCTCGCTCATGGCATGGAGGCCAATGGCAGCGGCTCAGTGGGGGTATGAAGTCAGAGTTTTCCTTCTCCTAAATGGGCTGCCTTCCAGGGCTGAACAGTCCCACCTACCCAGCCTGTTCTCTCACGGCATGGAGGTCGATGGCAGCACCTCAGTGGGGGATTGAAGACGGAGTTTTCCTTTCCTAAGCACAAGTTGCTGACAAAGTGCTGGATGAAGCTGCCTTTCATCTTCCATTTCTGATGGAAGATTTCATATCTTCTTCAGAGTCGTCGTAACTTGTCACTGGTGATCCTTCCCCGCTGCCTATTTCAGTCCCAAACTGTTAGAATACTTCACCTGATGTTTTGTTGGAGGAAAGCTCTTTTTCTTTTTGTCCTTTTTGGTTTTCAGAAGTTACCACTTCATTGCAGAAGTTTTTGGTACTTTTGCAATGAAATCAGGCTGTTAAAGCAGCCCTTTAGGATCCAAAAAACAATGGTATATTTTAGGATGCCCAATAAGATGTTTCGGGAAACCCACAAGCAGATTTTTAAAACACCTGGATTAAAAGGAGTACCTGGAAGAAAACTTTCCTTAGCCACCGCTAGGTCGCAAGCATCCTGCTCAGTCCACTGAAATAGATTTGACTTCCTCACCCCAGTTGTTTTGTTGGAGGAAAGGTCTTCTGTCTTTTCCACTTGTTGGTTTTCAGGAGTTGTTGCCAAGCTGCTTTCCTCTGTTGAGGACATGATGACTCTACCTAAAGTCTCTGCTGGAGACTTTATAAAGTTGACAAAAAGTGACATCACAAAGTGTGGTCAAAGTATTGTTACCCGGTGTTGGGAGTGCCATTCCCAAGGTTGCTAAGCCACATGGGTGTTGTAGAGTACCTGCACAAACATCAGTCCTGTTCATGGGAGGCAATAGGGCCACCACCATAAATAAAACCACCACCATTCTACTGGATTGTTTCATTTCTTAAACTTGATTGCTGTCTTTGTAACAGGTAGGATTCCAGTCTGGCTCAGAGGCAGTCTACTTAGATGTGGGCCTGGCTTATTTGAAGTTGGTTCTGAACCATTCTATCATTTGTTTGATGGCCAAGCTCTTCTACACAAGTTTGAGATTAAAGAAGGGCATGTGACTTATTACAGGAGGTAAGTGACACTTCTATTCCCCACAACTCATGCATATTCCTTTCTGTTGCCAGTGAAGGCCAGGGCAAGATTTTACTACTCTTGCCTCTTTAAATCAAATTTATAATTAAATGTAATTCTGTTCCAGAACTACTATGTGTTTTGGCTGCTCCTTCCTTATAAAGCAGGAGTAAATGATCCATATCATAGATTTTCCTGGACAAAGAGATAAGGATTCTAAAACATGTTAAAATGGATGTGTATGTAATAAATAATCAATCAGATCTTGAACACCTGGGTTGCAGCTTGCATTCTTTACACATTGTATGGTGTTGTCTCCTTTCTCTTCATTTCCCCCTTTCACTATGGCCTGCCTTTTCTAGAACTTCTTTGCCACTGTAAAGCCTCTTCCATTTTTGGGCTGCTCAGGAACAGCCTTTACAGTTAGATAGAGTGAAGCAGTCACTGGAGGTGGCAGATGCTGGATGGTGTGGAGCGAACGGTTTCAGTAGCCTTCCATCTATTCTTGCCTGTGAGAGAACATAGTCTTTGTTCAAAGCACTGTGCCTTGCACCCCCTAAGTTAACTAGCCATTCATAGGTGGCCAAGTAGATGGGTTCCTTCACCCTCAGTCTGTAAGCCACCCTGGATTCTCTTCAGTCACCGACCTCAAAGTAAGGTTCAGCTACCAGGCTGGATAATTTCCATGTATAGAATTAGATGGGAGGAACCATCTTATCTTTAGTCCCAAGAAGCGAACTGTTGGGTGACAATCCACAGACCGCTCCGTGTGTTGATGGCATAGCTATTGCTCTCTTTAACCAGATCTAGTACTGCTTCTGCTAATGTATATAATTTACATTATGTTAGGATAAGGTTAATTAGGTAATTAAGTGGTTCTGTGCACATGTGACGTACAACTGAGGATCCATTCAGCAGAGGAACTGACTCCGCATATCACTTTTCCATACTTCTTCAGTAATACCTGAAGTCAAAGATGTTACGGGAATAATTCTTTCCCATGCCAGTATTCTTCCTAAAGATATGGAGTAATGCCAGCATGGAAAAGAGTTTTTTCAACATACAAGAGTATCATCAACTGAAGGTGTGATGCTGTGTCTCCTACATCTCTGAGGTAATCTTAGGTGTTTTTATTTAGAATGTTTTCATACAACTTTTCAAGGCAAAATCCACAAAGCAGTTTGCAAGGTGAAATTTGAAAAAACAGCTGTCACAATCCCATTGAGATTTCCACTTGAATAAGGGAAACTGCATTAGTCTTCTTGACAAATTCCTACTCATTAATAAGGTGCTGGTTGCATTAATGCACACAAGCAGAATCAGGCACACACCCCAGCTAAAACAAAGACCTAATTAATGAGCAGTAATGTGACTCCAAGACTTCAAGAGAACTATTTTTCACTCTGCAAATGCAAACAATCTATAAAATTCTGGCCAATAAAATAGAGAATACAATTAACTGAAACAGCAGCATGAGACACTTCTTGAAATAATATCTTAACAGCTCAGCCAAGCTTTCCTCTAACTCTGGTGACCACATCTTCTTTTTCAAGGTCCCTATGTCTCTTACATAATCCCTGCTTCAAAGCCATCACCAGGGCTACTCAATAAAATAAAGGAGTTGTTTGGTGTTTCCCAGGTTTTGGTAGCAGCATGACAAGAATTCATAGATCCCAAACTGAAAATACTTAGACACTCATTAACATACCAGGAGAATATTTTATTTACAGACCTGGACCAAGATAATCAACTACTGTATACTGAGTTTGATATTGCTGGTGCTGTAAATGCTGGTTACATCTGTATATATTTGTTTTAAATCTGCTCTGAAATCTTTCACAGCTTCCTTCACCTTCATCATACACTCAAAATCCTTCAAATATTATTTTCTAACTACATCAGCAAACTCTCTCAAACATGTTTCTCTACCTAGACCTCATTAGCATTAAGTTTTCACTTTGCCTCTCCACTCTTCAACACCACCACCCCCTTCCATAGCCTGTGATGGGCCAAATCAAAGATCCAGAAAGAGGGCAGGCCTTGGAGTTGTCCATCATAAATAGCAACTGTTAAAAAAAAGCTGATGATCCTTGTAGTAACTGATGCCACATGGGCCTGCATAGGTAGCACCTAGTCCAGGAGAAGGTTATTGGGAGTGCAACCCAACCCCAGCCTTATACCTACATCCACATCAGCAGGCCTCCACCACGCCCACCTTTCCATATCCATACTGTCTATTTGGATTGAGTATGGTTGTTTGTCCCCACCCATTCTAAGGCTACCCCCAGACACCTATAGACAGTTTTCTCTACAACTCTCTGATCGCTCTGCCACTTTTTTCTAATGGAGCTACAGCACAGAGGCAGGGCACATGGCTTGGCTGCAGAAGGTCCTCGGTTCAGTCATCAGAATCTATAGATAAGGACAGGAAAGCTGCGTGGAATCCTGGAGAGCCACTACCAGTTGGCATTGACAGTACTGGGGTAGATGGACCTGTGGTCTGCCTAGTAAATGGCAACTTCCCATGTAAATTGGCAGATTTGATCACCTAAGGATTATCTGCACATTAGCTGTGATATGTCACAAGTATCACTTTTAGCTTAACTTCATGGGTGAATGTTTTATAGTTAATAGAAGTGGCGCAATCTTGACACAGAAAAACCCACACTGCTGCTGTATTATATAAGCACAAGTTATCTATTACTTTATCTATTATTATCTATTATTTTCCTTGACTTTTCCATAGATTTATCCGAACTGATGCCTATGTAAGAGCAATGACTGAGAAGAGAGTAGTCATAACAGAATTTGGCACATACGCTTACCCAGATCCATGCAAGAATATATTTTCCAGGTAGATATGAAAGTATATTATTGTAGGTTATATTAAAATATCTATCTATCTATCTATCTATCTATCTATCTATCTCGAGGTGCGGCGATTGGGTGCTCCGTATAGCGATCCCGAAAAAGGGGATCGCTATACGGATTCGTCGTTATACGGTGCGCTCGCTAAGCGAGGCACCACTGTATCTATCTATCTATCTATCTATCTGTCTGTCTGTCTGTCTGTCTGTCTGTCTGTCTGTCTCATTACATAATTTGCTGGAAGAAGTAATCTAGTTTCTCTGTATTCTGTCTGGCAGATTTTTTTCCTACTTCCAAGGTGTGGAAGTCACAGACAATGCCCTGGTTAATGTGTACCCCGTGGGTGAAGATTTTTATGCCTGTACTGAGACAAACTTCATAACAAAAATCAATCCAGAAAATTTGGAAACACTTAAAAAGGTAACATTTTGACGAATAAGGACTTGGATTAATAACAGACTGAATATTCAGCTGGTAGGGTGATGTGACACAGTTTGAATGGCAAGTGTTGCTGCAGTTGAGGTTTATAGCAGAGTGGCTACACCCCAGATTTAGAATCTTGTACAGTACTTCCAGTGATGCACTGCTGCAACGAATACTCTCCAAACCCTGTCACCAGAATCTAAAAGTAGTAAATATGTAACAAATGGCACCTCTGAGGCTGAAGGTAAGAGTCAGATGTCAAAGAGCATGAACTGAACTAGCACAAAAGAGAGGTTATTGCTAACTGCCTTTATGGAATTTCAAATTTGCTATGTTAGTTTTATAAGTGAGATTCAGCAGTCGCTTCAGAGGAGAGATGGGTATTTTTTTAATTATTATTTATATCCCGCCTATCTAGTCAACTCAGGACCACTCTAGGCGGTAGACCAGTTCCATTTTTGGGTCCTGCTACCTCCTGAAACTAAAAGTTGGCAGAAGTGACCTTTTCATTTCCTACATTTTTATGAAAACAAGACACAGAGGGCGGTTGTTTAAAGAGTTGTGTTGGGGGGAAACTAGGAACATGTAACCGTCGTTCCTTCAATGTATGAATTAGATGAGGTAACATCTGGATGAATTGCTCTTTATGACTGGAGGTTAATCAGGCTTAATGAGTACTGCCAGACTTAAAATCTGAAGGCAAATTACTCCACTGAACTCAATGGAAATATTATTTCTCCCTACAAATCTAAACAAATGCACCCATAGTGGTTAAAAATCAAGTTCCATCTGCTATTCCTTGGGTCCTGTTTCGGCAAATGTTTTAAATAACTTTTCCAGAAGAGTAGTTCTTCATGTGGCATCTTAGACACTATCATTTTTTTTTCTGGCATAACCATTTGTGGACTGCAATCTGCCTTGTTAGATGGATGGAAAATGTTAGTAGTCAGCGTAGGTCAAGTGCTTCTGGAACAACTAGTACTATTGAAATGTGAGAAGCAATACAATTGTACTTACTGCTGTAAGTTCTTTTAATATGTGTTTTGACAAGAGGTCTCCTTCAACTCAAAGCGGTTTGTGAAGCTGGCTTCCTAAAGACTCAGAGAAGGATCTTGAACAAATTAGTTTTCACTTGAGCTTCTACAAATGTAATCTGAAGTTCATGCATCTCATGAAGTGAGTTGTACTCCATGAAAGCTTCTGTCAAATGAAGACTGAGAATGTGTCAGTCCTTAAGGTTCCACAAAAGTCTTTGTTTTTTCTATACAGTATATGGTTTTATGCAGAACAAGAAGTTCAGGAACCCGCTGCGCCTTTTTTCAGGATACTCCATTCCATCCATTTTCTCCCTTCTGTTTTCTCCCACCCACCAACCCTGAATAGCTAGCATTCCATACCCACTATTCCTTCAGCCTTCCTTGAGCAGTCATCTGCCTGCTAGTTTATTTTTCTTTCTCTTCTTCCCCGCAAACCTTGGTGGCCCCCAACCTCGTTGATCTGTTGACGTATCTTTTCTGCCACATAAGAATAACATTTTAAAGGTGACTTCACTATTAGCATACAGGATATACAGTATGTCAAATTGGCAGATAAATCACCCAGGCATCTGTTACATGTACATTACACTGTTGCCCCAAATAAATCTATGGCTCTACCCCATTAAAGTTAACTCTGTCTTGTATCACCCAGGTGGATGTCAGCAAGTATGTTTCCGTCAATGGAGTAACAGCACACCCTCACATTGAAAATGATGGGACAGTTTACAATATTGGCAACTGCTTTGGAAAGAATTTTTCACTTGCCTACAATATTGTACGGATACCTCCCCTGCAATCAGGTCTGTTCTCTTCCAAGCAACCTTATGTTATTACAGCATGGTTACTCCTCTGTATAATGGTTATATTTCCCAAATTCACATTGTGCTATGTACACAAACACATACCAATATTTAGAGAAATCTTGAAGATAGTTTGTTTCATTATCTGTATCATTGATTTTCTTGTTCTTGTATCTCATTCTCACTAATTGGCTTGTACACGTGAAAATAAAGAGAAAAATCCTGTTCTCAGATACTTTTTTTTCCAGACAAGAAAGATCCAATAACCAAATGTGAGGTAGTGGTTCAGTTTCCCTGCAGTGACAGATTTAAGCCATCCTATGTGCACAGGTAAATCCCAACCTCTTAATACTAATCAATCATATAAATATATGGTTTTATAATAGACAATTGATACACCCAATCCATATTACCCTGTTTCCCTGAAAATAAGACCTAACCTGAAAATAAGCCCAGTTAAGTGAAACCCCGCCCTCCGCCATTGTGCAGCAACCAGAAGAAGATGACATGACTGTATTTGAATAAATGTAGATTGTTGTACATGGAAAAAAAATAAAACATGCCCTGAAAATAAACCTTAATGTGTTTTTAGAGCAAATAATAATATTAGATAAAAAATAAAACATGCCCTGAAAATAAACCTTAATGTGTTTTTAGAGCAAAAATTAAAATAAGATCCTGTCTTATTTTCGGGCAAACATGGTAGAGAACAATAAATTATACCAATGATCCTCTCAGGCAGAACTATGGGACAGATGTCCAGAACTACACACAGCAAAATGAGCAGAAGGGCCTCCAAATGCAGCATGGACAGATTTGGGTGAAAAGAAAGTAGTACATGTTGTTGTGTAACATATAAATCCTTGTAAGAGTATTAAATCCAGTGCCTTACCAAACAACACAATGTTCCTTTTTCCATATGTAAAATATAGGACAGGGGTGTTGTTTGATAGGTACAGGTAAACACAAATTACTGTAAAATGGGGCCAAGGGGGATTTTTCAGTTTTGCTGGCCTGTCCTAGGACAGCAATCCCAAAGTAATATGCATATTTACAATGTGAATTATTTGTGATGTTTCAGTGCAGTAATTATACACTGTAAAACATTGCCACAGTGGGTCTTTGAAAGCTAAAAATTAGGTTGAACAATAAAAAGGCTTTTTTTAAAAAATTGAAAAAGCCTTCTAGTGGCCAAAATACCTTTGAGACCAGGGGATCCGGTAGTTCTTGGGATCCTGTGAAACATGACAAAACTGCCTCCCCCATATCCCAGAGGGTAATAGGGGGAAGGTTTATATGAAAGTTCAAAGCATTTTATAAGTGTAAGGTTACATGGCTTCAGAGATGGGACAAAAATGTCCTTGGGGGACCACATACAGCCCACAGTCCACATGTTGCCTACTCCTGAATTTAAAAGGTAACTGAAACAGAACAAAAAATGGTTAGTGACCCAAATACCTACAGCTTAACTTTATATACAGTATATGCAAAATGCTGTGTCACGTGACATACAACGCTTGACTGTTATTTCTGAACAGTTTTGGGATGACTTCAAATTACATTGTGTTTGTGGAAACACCAGTGAAAATCAACTTGCTCAAGTTTCTTTCTTCCTGGAGTCTTTGGGGAGCTAACTACATGGATTGCTTTGAGTCAAATGAAAGCATGGGGGTAAGTAATACTGTTTTACAATAAACAATCACAAGTGCCACCCCACACACAGATTTCTAACAGTGCTATTTGCCATTTAGGTTTGGATGCATGTAGGTGACAAGAAAAAAGGAAAGTATCTTAACATCAAATACAGGACTTCACCTTTTAATCTCTTTCATCATATTAATACCTATGAAGACAATGGATTTCTGATTGTGGATCTGTGCACATGGAAAGGGTGAGTGCTAACACAAATCAGTTTGGGAGGCTCGGAAAAACGATCCTTTGTTCATGCTGTATCATCTCTTTCCTTCATTTTCATCTCCATATGGTTTATTAGCTTCCTAGTTTCACCAATCCAGTTTGCTTTTCTATTCAAAGGCAGTACCCCATAATTTAAGCAAACCGGAGGCAGTTCAGTTAACTGCTCACAGGAAGGAAGAGGTGCACTGGGCACATAAGCACGTTGCTTCGTTTAAGTCTCCATATCACGGTTTAGAGAAAATTAGTACTGCATACAAATGTATATGTTGAATACTCTGAAGAAGTATAAAGAACACCTGTCAAAGTTTGTGTCAGTTTTGTTTCTTTTTTTGAGAATGGAAAACAGTGGATTATGCCAGTAATCCTGCATAGAAAAACAAATCAGATGAGTAAACAATACATGTCCAGGCCAAGCCCACATCTTTGGGAAATCTTGCTGGATTTTTTTAAAATTCTGTAACTCTTTTCTAGATATTTAGAATTAGACTAAGAAATGCAGTCCAGTTTCACTATACCATTTCATGTCTAATCCCTAGACCATGTTTTGGAAGGCTTGTGTGGTTTGCTAGATTATTATATTATCAAACGCAGCAATGTCTGCATAATGTTGTTCGTCCAAGTTTCAATTTGCCAAGAAAATCTGATCCATCTCTATTACTGCTTCCTAAAGTGCCAAACTAAGAACCAAGTTAGAGCCTATTAACTGCTTATTTTCAACATTTAAATGCACATTTACTTGCCATTGCACAGGTACGAGTTTGTTTACAATTACTTATATCTAGCCAATTTACGGGAGAATTGGGAAGAAGTAAAGAAAAATGCACAAAAGGCTCCTCAGCCTGAAGTTCGACGATATGTCCTTCCTCTAAACATAGAGAAGGTAACGCTTAGCCTACCCATCAATTTTCTATTTAAATGAAGCTATTTTTAAACTGGAGTCTGATTTCCACACACTGTAATTAACATCAGCTGACAAGACTAGTTGGAAAAAAATTATTCGGGTAGAATAATGCATAATGAACAGTAAGCTGTAACATCACTTCAGGGGGAAAAATATAAATACTAGTGACATTGTATAATCATTTTGACTGGTATTTTATGATTTTGTCATTCCGTGCTTTGAGAATCACGGAACTGAAAGACTGATTATAAATGTTCATAGCATTAATGCCCTTATTACCATACCTTGAATTGCAAGATGGATTTATTGCAAACACCTGGTGTGTCTGTGTACTTGGTGCAGTGTGCATGGTGCATGCCACACAAGGTTTCTTGTGGTGATGACTAGGACACTCAGGGTGTAAAAGAGCAATCACATTTTGCTGCAATGTTGTCCTCATTCTCATAGGAATCAGTGGCAGTGATTCATTTACACCAAAGAAAGCAAAGGGATTATTGTGGACATTATTCAATTATTCATTTATGACTCTAATCAAGATTGCTGCTGTGTGCATAATTGACCCTGGATTCTCTTTCTTGGTTACGCCACTGGAAGACTAGATGAAATGCCTGGAAATGCCCCCACACACACACACACGCACAGACATTTACATAAGAAAATACAAAGATGATCCATCCTCTTGCCTTTATATTAACTGCCCTTTCTATATCCTAGGCTGACACAGGCAAAAACCTAATCACATTGCCCAATACAACAGCTACCGCCACTCTAAACAGTGATGAAACCATCTGGCTGGAGCCAGAAGTTCTTTTCTCAGGGCCCCGGCAAGGTGAGACTAATCTCAGCCAAAATCAAGAGAACCAGTCTAATTAGTAGATGCAAATGATGTGCTAATATCTGTTAACATCTCTGTTTTGTGTTACAGCTTTTGAGTTTCCTCAAATAAACTACACAAAATATTCTGGGAAACCCTACACATTTGCATATGGCCTCGGACTAAATCATTTTGTCCCAGACAGGGTAAGTCTTAAGTGCAAATGGATTATATTAGACTGGACTAACACTTGCTAAAAAGCAAACATAGGTGTAAATCAAGTTTTGTTCACATGTCTAGGGCTGATACTGATCTGTGCATGTAAAATGGCATAATGTAGATACATTCAGTGTTAACCTATGCTTTGATTGTATTCCTGCATTGAGCAGGGGGTTCGACTTTATGATCTGTTTTTGCTATTCCAGTGTCAATGGATGAAATTAGTATCAATTAAAGAGTAATCAAAATTCATTCTGCATCTGGTTATCAGAAATAAGAAATACATTTTAATTTCCCTACCAAAGAAAATTGTAGCCTAAATCCAACTGCTAATCTCAAATAGATTTTTGCACACCAGGCAAAATCCTCTTGCATAAATATATGCTGTGGAAGCCAGATGATGGCATTACTCTGCACTGGTAGAATTTAATTTAATTTCATTGCAAATTTCTTAAACTCTGCCCTCTTTTGCAGGTTCCAAGACTCCTTAGGATTCTCTTTTGCCTTGGGGAAGACTTTGAGAGTTTGGGATGGTGTGTGTGTGGCCTTTTAATAATAAAAAATCAGAACCAGTGACAGTGGGACCGTGACCATTACAGTGATCCAGCAGTGATTTTTTGCTTTTAAAGACTCCCATAACAATGTTCCCAAAGTCTTCCCTGGGGCAAATAAGAACCTCTAGGGAGCCTTGGAACCTGAAGGGATGTGTGTGAGGGATGGGGGTGGGAGAGGACACTTCCAATTTGTTTGAATTACATTTTACCAGCCCATATGATGGCATCAGCTGGCTTCCACACCACAAATTTATGCCAATAGCATTTTTGGCCATTGAATCAACTTCTGAATAAGTCAACACACACATAAATATCAATGATTCAAGAGGTCTACTATAACTGGAACAAGCAACTGTAGTTCTCCAAACTAGCAAATGTGAATATTTCAGTCTTTTACAAAAGGAAAGTCATAGGTCATGTATTATGAATGTATTTGTATGAACCACAGAATGATGGAGTTGGAAGGGCCTTATAAGGACATCATGTCCAACCCTCTGGTCAGCACAAAAATTCAAGTTAATGTGTATCTAATTTTCTCTTGAATGTCTCCAGTGTTCAAGAGCTCACCACCTCCTGAGATAACTGGTTCCACTGTTGTACCTCTCTAAAGAGTGAGGAAGTTTTTTTCCTGATATTAAACAGAATTCTTTAACTTGAGCCCATTATTACATTTCCTGCTCCCTGGAATGACTGAGAACAGATCCTGCCCTTCCTGTGTATGATAACCTTTCAAATATTTGAAGAGTGCTATCGCATCTCCCCACAGTCTTCTTTTCTCAAGGCTAAACATACCAGATATTTCAGTTTTTCCTCATAAGGTTTGGTTTCCATTCCACAACCATCCTTGTTTGACTCATCTGAGGTTGTTCAAATTGGTCTCCATCCTTCTTAGGATGTTCAAAACTGAATTCATTTTATAAGCATGCAATGCAGCAGGCACTGGTCAATTGTTTCTGAGCAATGTATTCTCGAAGCCTGAGCACTTTATGGATAGAAACCTCTGAGAAGGGCTACTGTAAGTCAGAATGAGCTTGAAGACATTCAAGTATCATCATCATTGTTGCAAAAAAGAGCAGATGTTATCACTAAATCCATCTGTTTCTGTGCACTGGGAAAGTTCATACTCTTCCCTACACACCAGGATGATACAAATTCCTTTAAGAGAAATCAGATGCGTTCTGAAGTCAAATTTTCACTTTCAATATAGTAACATTAAAAATCTAGTCCCATTACATTTTCGTACCCTTGTGTTAACACTCTAGAAGTGAACACACTGTGAATATAAATGTTCATTTTTGTATGAAGAGAAACAAATGTTAATTTTCACAATACCATTATGCAGTATTGACATTTTGTCTGGTCATATTTCCAAACAAAAACTTAACTAATGTTTTAACTTTAATCTGTTTCCAGCTTTGCAAGATCAATGTTAAAACTAGAGAAACCTGGGTATGGCAAGAGACAGATGCATACCCTTCTGAACCAATCTTTGTCTCTCACCCAGATGCTCTGGAAGAAGATGATGGTAACATTATGAGAGTATTATTCAAATCTGTGTGAACCTTCTCTCCAGGGGGATAGGAAGCTTTCTTTGATTGCCAGTCATAGTCTATAGCAGTAGTTCTTAACCTTTTTGAACGAAACACCCCCTTGAGCCATTGAGGAAGTTATCATTACCCCCTCCCTGTGGCAGTGCAGTGGCAGCAGAGTGGTGCCGCCGCAGGGAGGGGGGCAATGATAACTTCCTCAGTGGCGGTGTCACCACATCCGCTGCCAGCACCAGCTGCTCTGGATCTGGCAGTGTGGCAGTGCCACACCACCAACGCAGGGAGGGGGCCGATGATAACTTCCTCAATGGCAGCGGTGGCAGCAGTGGCGGCATCACATCCACTGCCAGCACCAGCTGCTCTGGATCCGCCACCGTGGGAAGAAAGGTGATGATAAGTTCCTCAATGGCGAAGATGGCACAGCAGCTCCATGTCCCCCTATTGACCCCCTTCTGTTCCTTTGCCCCCGCATTGCCCCTTTTCGTTCCATTGCCCCCCTGAAAAATGAAGGTTAAGAACCACTGGTCTGTAGAACCACAGAACTGCAAAAACAACAACAGAAACAAAAAAACACAACCTATTTGTACTAGCTAAATATTTGCCAACTGAAAAATAGAAAACTAATTCTAAGTTGAGTTGACCAATTGTGTTTCCAAATTCCATAGATGAAGGGTTGACTTGTTCTAAGTACTTGTTGCTGTTTTATTTAGGTTAACATGAATTTATTTCTGGTTCAGGTGTCGTCCTGAGCATCGTCATTAGCCCCGGCAGTGGACCAAAGCCTGCCTACCTTTTGATCTTGAGTGCAAAGGACATGAGTGAAGTTGCCCGGGCAGAAGTGGACATCACCATCCCAGTTACTTTCCATGGCATTTTCAAAAGAGCATGATGTTTGCCTTCATTACACCTTGTATTAATATCTGAACTAAAGAACTACACTCTTAACCAGTTTCCAAGTGATTTCTAAAATTAGTTTACATTTTAATGTATATTTATAGAATTTAAGGATATTTTTTTCTGAACTCGGCGCATTATACAGAAAATAAACAGATTTGAAAATTGTCAGTATTTCTAATTCGCCAACTGGATATTTAAGCAAAACAGAACATCACCACCACACTGTGAAATCGCTTTCAGATAATTACATTTTGACCAGAGATGCTGGCTCACTAATGAGATACAGGCCTGACTCAGTTTTTAAAGGCAAGAGAGCATGGCAGGGGATAGTGACAGCCTCTCATTTTAAACCGACTGACAGATCATTAAGCAGTTACAAATAATCATTAATCAAATAATTTGTCCAGGTGTGAACAGAGAATTCCACTTTTGCCTGCATGATGAGTTCTTACATTTTAAAACAATATAGGATACTGTTATTCATAAACTTCTAAATTATAACTTCTAAATTTTCTCCAGCTCTGAAGAAAAATGACATTTTATATTCTTAAATGCAGTAAGAGTTAATCTCTTTCTGGAACAAAAAGTGAAGTTTCTCCTTTGGAGAGATAGAAAATGAACAGAAATTCCCAAAGTGTGTGGGAGTTATTTCATAATTGTGACTCCATGTGTTTTAGACTAAGGATACCTCCTTTCGTCCACAGCTTCAACTGTCCAATCTAGCCAGGCATTCTGTACCAACCTTGAGGCAAATAAAAGCTAGAAATATGGCTCTCGAGTCAGATGGTCAAAGGTTGTGGGTTCCTCATAGTAAGAACAGAGCCTCCTCCTTTCTGGTCCTCTCAGAAAGGATGGCAAAATGCATCGTTCCCTCTTGTTTATAACTTTGCTGATTCATTGATTTTGGTTTTTTAAATCTGTCTTCTGTTCCTGTGTCTTAATATTTCTATGTTTTAAACTATTGGTGTAAGCTACTTGGGAATGCAGACATATTTTTTATTAACACTTTCCAGGTCATATTCAGTACAAAAGGCAAATCTTGCCAAAGTTGTGTGACAGGAACAGAAACATGATTATGGACTGACATATAAACATTTCTCAAAATCCAATATATATGTCATATTGGGACCTTAGAACATAAATTTATTAGCACTTTCATGATAAATGGCTGGCATCAGTATACTCAGATGTACAGAATGTGTTTGCCATAATCAGTTGTCCTTGGTTACTTCCCTGTGAATGGTACAAGCGATTCTTCCAGGGAGATAAATTGATATTTCTTTTGTTTCATAATTCTTAAACATTGTTTTCTTCCAAAAGGAAAAAAAAACATCATCATCATCAGTAAGGGGAGGATTTATATGGTATTTCTCCCCCCCCCCCCCCGCAACCTATGTTTGAGCTTATGGGTTTTAACATTTTAATGAGTAATCTGGTGAGAAAGGCCAGATATTCATAAATATGTTTGAACTTGCTTATGAGTTCAAATGTAGGTTGCAGAGAAAATGTGAAATGTCACAGAAATCCTCCCCCTGATTCATCAGTAATCATAACCATAATAAGAGGCTTATACACACGTGATGTGAACACAATGCTTTCAACAAATTACTCAGATCTTATTCTTCAGATCCACTGTAATAACTTCTGATGGACATAAATGTCTGGCAGTCTCCTCAAGTTATCATGATCCCATGATAACTTAATTTGTAAGCTGAACAAATGGTGTATTTGTGGAAAGAGAGGTCCCTGAAGTACTGTCTGACATGATCTCTATTTATAATAAAAATACAATATCCAGTTTCATTAAGGCCTCTCTCTTTTTTTAAAATCTTAAATTTTTAATTTTTTCTTATCTTAAGAACTACTGGATAGTTTAATGATTTTTGGGACTATTGTAGCTAGAACAGGACACACTGTATAAGAGGCTGAGCCTTCAGAATTCTCACAGTATAATATTCTGACAGGCATGACTAGTTCTATTCCATATGCTTAGCAAAAGCTGTACTGGTATATATTACTGTGCTGCACTTTTAGGCAGTCCTCCCTGCAGCTATTGAGAGTGACCATACAAAGGGCTACTTGTGGTCCACCCACCTCTTATTCTGTTAGTGTCACCAGGAAAAGGGGCAAGGGTCTGGACATAAGAGCAGAATCAACTCTTGATCCTCACTAATACCACTTGTCCCCAAGACTAAACACTAGTGGAGAACTGATCTTAAAAGATTAATCTTTACTCACTAGATTTATCCTAAATTAGTGATTTCACACAAGATGCCTTTAAAAATCGTTGTAATTCCTCACTTTTCTGACACAAATTCATAGCTTCAGTGCAAAGCTTACGTTACGAGTATCATCTAAGGAGGTTGCAAGTGCAAGTATGAGCATAATCAACAACAGTACGTGGGTTATGTCTGGATTCTGTGCTACTTACCAATGCAAAAAATGTAATGGGTAAAATCCTGTTGGAGTAACTTTTTAAGCATAACCTAGATCAGGCTCAGGCAGCATTTAATTTAAAGTAATTAAAACCTGCCTGTCCTGAGGAAGCCTTTGGGAGCCTCGGGAAGGGAGAGGAGTCTTTGATGGTTGAAAATCACTGCCACATCACTGCCAGGACTAGGACTGCCAGTAACAATCTGGCAGTGATTCTTGACTACTGAATGTTCTCCCCCTAAGCCTCAGGCTCTCCAAGGCTTTCCTAGGGCAAAGGGAAGCCTTGGGGAACCTTGGAATATAAGAGAAGGGGATAGGAAGCTTTTAATTGCTTTAAATTAAATGTTTCCGGTACTTTATCCAAGTTCATCGTTTAGTCGTTTAGTCGTGTCCGACTCTTCGTGACACCATGGCCCCGAGCACGCCAGGCCCTCCTGTCTTCCACTGCCTCCCGGAGTTGTGTCAAATTCATGTTGGTTGCTTCAATGACACTGTCCAACCATCTCATCCTCTGTCATCCCCTTCTCCTCTTGCCTTCACACTTTCCCAACATCAAGCTCTTTTCCAAGGAGTCTTCTCTTCTCATGAGATGGCCAAAGTATTGGAGTCTCAGCTTCAGGATCTGTCCTTCCAGTGATCCAGGTTACACTAGTGCAAAGTTATGAAACAGGATTTTGCTCAATGGTACATCTTGCTTATCACTTAAGAAAAGTATCAAAGGCTAGTGGGAGAGTTATATCTGCAAGTATGTATAAAGGAAGATATAGCAGATAAAAACTGATGAGATGACCTGCTGACCATCATGCTGGTCTTGTCATAGCATAAATTTCACTTCCATAATAGCCACCAGTCAAAAGGGTTATCTTGGGGACAACAGCACAGGCAATTGCAGCCATCATGGAAGCTTGTGATTTTAACCTATTGGTGTGCCTCTCTGCCTAAAATAAAGTGAAAAGGCACTGACATTTTTTTTCTGACTATTCTTTCTTCTTTGGATAACAAAGTCCTGAGAATTTCAATGATGAGTTCATTTTCTTGCCAGCACAAGAAGAAAAAGGAAATATAAGTGATGCCATTTAAGTGTGAGATTTAGAGTGTTCTTGTAAGGATTCATTATTCTTCAAATCAGAGAATAATGCTCCATCTGTTTGTGAATGGGGAAGGTGGAGTGGGAAGGCTATACAAACATGACTTTTTCAAAACTGCCAGATCACCCTCTCCAGAAATATCACCAAACCACGCTACTGAAAAATGCTGAACTTCTTCCATGAAGGATCGTTGACCAACCGGGAGGGGGGGGGAGAAATCACTCGGGGACAGTCTACTACCTATCAAGATGAGTGAAGAAATGCAACAAAGATTGTATGTGAATTAGCACACACATAAAAAAGAGAAAAGTGTTCTGACTGTTCCTATTTAGGCTGGGAAGAACACAGGCTAAAGAGCCATTTTCCTACTTTGGGGGGGGGGGAAGGGAATATGCACCTCCAAAATAAAAGGCTGCTATGATAGTTCAGCACAACTAGCGAGATCTCCTACATGTAAACCATTTTTGTTATGGAAAAAATAACAAAAGATTTTAAAAATTATGTGGGCCTCTCACTATGCAGACAACACCCACATACTACAGATGATTTGGAAACAGGGGACTTCAGCAATGGAGCAAGCTACCTTTTGAGAGAGATTTCCCACTACTTATCTTTCAGTTGAAGGAATCTTGATCACCTTTTCCCATAACATACTTATAAGATGGTTGTCGTAAATTACCACTATGTTTATTCCTTGTACAGTAGGCACGACTCTTTATCGTTGAAATGGACCGTGGAAGTCCAGAATGCATTAGGAGGCTGCCTATATGTATTGAGCAAATCAGTTTTGTAAAAGTCTAGATCTGATTCACTAACTCGGGGCCCTTTGAAGGTACTCTGTACAAACTATCTTACCTGTGCAATACTTTTCAGCTCTGCTGTACATCGGACTATATCCAGGACAACCAGGACTGGGATATTTTGTTGACTATAAAGCTATAGGAAGCAGCAACCGTTTAGAGAAGCATCATGAATCAACTCACCAATGTTGGCCAAAATTCTAAATAGTTGTCTAGCAAAAACATAAAACATTTTCTGTAGTTCCAAAGTAGTAGAAACAGGTCATTTAGCACTGCAGTTTCACATGATTGTCTTAAATAGATGTTCACAGAAATGCTTCAGATTTCTTTCATTTCAAAGTGCTTTAGAGTACATATAATTGTTTAGTTTATATCAGCCTCTTGTAATTTTTTTTAATTTTAAAATTAAAACTAAAATACAAATTCAATAGTGAATACAGACAATACACATTGAACTTTTCCCATGAGTACCCTTGGGACTAGGTGACCAGTAATATCAATTTATATCCCTTTTCACCCCATACCTCCCCAAAAATACATTGATTCTTTTACTGGCATATAGCCTTTTCCCTTTGAAAAGACATACCATATTTCAAGTATAAATTCCATTTTGTTGTTGTTTAGTCGTTTAGTCATGTCCAACTGCCTTTGCCCTTTGAAAAGACATACCGTATTTCAAGTATAAATTCCATTTTGTGGTTGTTTACTCATTTAGTCGTGTCCGACTCTTCGTGACCCCATGGACCAGAGCACGCCAGGCCCTCCTATCTTCCACTGCCTCCCTCACTGCGTTCCATACATCTTTGAAATCATTAGATTTTACTATTCTTCTTCTAATTTTCATTTTATGTGTTAACTTATTAATTGCTAAGCTCCACATTTCTTTATACCAATCTTCAAGAGTAATTTGTCACTTTTATAATTCTTTGCAAATATCTTTCTGACCTTATTTCAGATGGTCATTCTTAATTATATTCAGGAGGGCAATAATTGGTGATGTCTGAATATCATATCTAATTTTTTTTGTTTAAAAAAAACAATGCCCGTTCTTTCTTTTTTTATTTCACAAGTTAATACAAGGAATCCAAGGGGCCCTTTATGCAAGTGAAGGATACATTCATTTACTTTGCTAATTTTCTTCAGTTCTCCTAATTTGTCTCACGTTCCATTGTTTTCTCAAATTCCTCAGCCCACAGAAGCAGTTTTACTGGAGATACAAGGGGAATCCGTAGGCATGCAAGCCCTGTTGAATAGCGAGAATCCCACCTCTGCTTCTCTGGAACCAAGACAATGTATCCTGCTCAGTTATTAAGGTTTTTTTTCTCTTCAGAATATTTAATCTTGCTTTACAGAAAAAAGAAAAACTGGCACAGTGTCATACAAAACATGGTAAGACATCAGAGTGAAGACAAGCGGAAGTCATGTCCAATGTAAAAATAGTATTTCAGCAAGGATAAGGTAAAAGTCCCTCTGAAGTGATGCTGTCTTTCCTTTCTCACCCAGCAAGGGGCATCCTGGGCCTCTCATAAGATTAAGGAGAAGGCCTTACCCTGCAGCTAACATTGTTCCTATCAAGTATCCATCCTCTACAGATCTTTTTCTGAAGAAACCAAACAAGATCGGTCTTCTTTTTCCCCTCTTCCTGCTGGCATATAAATGTAGAGAAATTAGCTGCAAACAGAGCTAGTATAGAAATACAGGGATGTAAAACAGGGATTTGAAATTGCTGTTTGACTTCTACTCACTCAGTTAAAAAAACCCTGCTCTTCAGAAATCTACCTGCAGTTAGAATGAGTAAGTTGTAAGGATGTGTAGTAGCACCAAAATTCAGATTTGGACTGCGGAATTACAGCCCTTTGGATTTGGAATTCAGAGTTTTAAACATTTAAAATTTCCAGATATCTGGAACTCCGTTACAGTCAATCTGAATACAGTATAGTCATTATTTCCCCCCTTTTAAAAAACACAAGCAGGCAAAACATTTTAAGGGATTTCCCTGTGTCCTCCGACACCTTCCTAGTGA